GCAAAGTGCAGCAAGGGTAAGGGATGTTTTTGAAACACAAATGCCGAGAAGGGGCAATTCTACGCTGTCGAAAGAAATCCGAGACTATGGCGATAGCTTTAGTGGACTCTACAGGTTGGATAGTTGTGAGTCTCTAAAATTGACACTGGCAGTCACTGAGGCTAGGCTCTCCACCAGATAGATCGAGGCTTAACGATCACAGAGGAGGTAGAAAGAAGGGTCTCATGTGGCTCCAAGATAAGCAAATATGGATTTGGCTTCGATGAACAGATGGACACAGTCAAGCCAGACAGGCCGAATCTAAGATTTTCCACGAGAAGTTGAGTTGTTGCATAACACGGTTTCTTTAGCTTATTTAGCCCAATATGTTTATTAATTGTCTTTGATTAGCTTCATTCAGACAATCATTAATGGTTTTTTAATGGCAGCGGGTACGACGATGGAAGCATGGAAAGCATTGGCCGGTAATTCTTGTTTTTCGTTTCTAAATAGGTCTTTGAGGCTACCAGTTGATATGATATATAGAATGTGTTTAGTCTATTTAATTGAAGGTGATGAAGGATTGGCGATTGAGTTTTCCCACAGTCATGTGAGTAGGTGTTAAGTTTCCATTTAATTTCACACAGCCCTGTTTCCTAAAAGTTATTCCAATCCAGGCTGGAGTGGAAGACAGTTTTGACCTCGCCTCGACTGGCCTCATCAGCCATTTCAGCTTGATTCGAACTCGAGTTGTGGTTGTGCAGCTTCAACGATGTTAAACATTATGTCACACTGCGATAAGTGTAAGGCTATGTGAAATTCAATGAAAATATGATGCCTACTCCTCGGATTGTGTGAAAATTTAACTACCATTTCTTCATCGCCTCAATCGAAATAGGTTGAATACATCTCATACTTTGATTCTTATATTATTTGAGGAAGTGTCCGTCTCTGCTCCTATCCCATGAGATATGTTATTGAAGCAATTTTAATTAGCTTGACATTAAGAATGACTTCTGTTTACTCCGAAAAGATCATGACATCTTTTTATGAAGGCTTATTTCGATGCTCCATTTGTGCAGTACTTCAATGCTTCCAAGTCAGGCCGTATCATTTGACACAACTGCAGGCTCCCAACTCTTTCATGCACCTCTTAAGATGATGCGTACTTTTTAAGAGAATACGGACGCTTTCAAAGCGTATTTCTGTATGGTGTCTTGTTTATTATTATATTTCAATGTATCCTCGATTTGGTTTTCAATTTATTGCCTTTCTTTCTATCGTTTATATTAGCACAACGCACTCACCGCATCCTTAAGCCTCCTTTTATTCCATCTGGTGGGCTTGTGTGTGTATGTGTAGAAAATTTTCTATCATTGTCCATTCCTCGGGTTCTTCAGCTGGCAGTCAGAAAAAATAAGTCTTTATACCCAGATCTAATCGTCACTGCTAGCAAATTAAAAAAAAGTGACAATAGACATCAAAACTATGTCCACTTATTGGGAAAAGGCAAGCCATCGAAAAGCATATACACTAAAATATGATTATCTCCTTATGCTCTCAGAATCGTTGGCAAGCCATTTCCGGAATTATTTCCTATACACTTATTATAACTGATGCTTGTGTAAGTTTTTTTCCGTAGATTCCTCATATCTTCCATTTCTGTTTCTTCAATATGTGGGGAGCTGATTCAAATATATACCGGATCTCAAGCAAGCTAGAATTAAATGTCCATTGTATTGAGTGAGCATTTGTTCGGCAATAAAATCTCTATGGGAATCTAGTATCGCTTACCATCTGAACGAAAAAATTCGGTTTTTTTTCTCTTTTCTCCTTTTTCTCAAGTTTGGATCTCAGAACATTTTGAAGCATGCGCATTGTCCTTAGATGATAATTACTCTATATTGTGTTGAATCTAGTATTTTGAGAACATATTTTCTGCCATTTTAGTTTTAGTAAGGAACGCATTGTTTTAAAAATGTATTTTAGTTATTTCCTTACTTTTTTTCTTATTCTGGCATCACTGACCACCTCCATACGTGGCCAGATTCAGGCCAGATAATGTCCTCAGAGGAATACGACATCCTAAAGGCCAATCTTGCACTTGGCCAGACCTCGAGCACCCCAGTGGCATCTTCATCTTCTGGAGGACTCGTCAACCTGGCAAACCCTGCTGCCCTCTCGTCTTCTTGCGCTGAAGCGGTTGCCACCTCTACCGGACCATTTCTAACCGACTTGCCCGACTCGAGCACGGATAGCTCCGACTCCATGATTCTCGGTGGTCAGGCGGTCGGTGTATTGGCGCCCGCAACTTCAGCCACGGGTATTGTGTTGGCCCACAATCCGCGACTTCGCTCCGAGCTATCGGCCGGCCAACGTCAGCATGCCTGTTTGCCACGATCAGCCTCAGATTACGGCGGTGATGGGCTCCTCGGTCAGGAGCTTGAGTCCCGACTGGAGGCACAACAACACCAGCAAATGGCTATGGTACTCGGCGTCAGCCATCCTTGTCCTGGCTCTTCGGGCGCCGGCGGTGGCGTTTGTGGCCCCGGATACGTCGGAGGCACTGGCACATTTATGTCGGGATTTGGACTGGGGAACTACTGTACTGGCGACCAGGTGATTGGCACGGCGGTGCCTCTCGAGGCCGGTGGATCACTGGGGAAGACGGGGGGCGAGCTAAGCCAAGGAGCGACAGATTATGGTCTCAACTGCGAGGCTGAGGAGGGGTACCAGCGAATTTTGGGTGGGTAAACCATATTCACAGTTTACATAACCCCAATCATGCCGAATTAGTGCGATTGTAGCTTTATGCAGATGC